CGCATCCCCTGGCGGTGAGGACAGCTTAGACAGACCCCATGGGGTCTTGGGCTTCCTCCCAGGGCTGGGGGTCTCTGCCGTCCCAAATTTTGTCCCCTCGGCAAAGGACACAGAGGGCCGCTTGGCCTTGGCGATGCTGGAGGTGCGAGGGATGGCGAAGGGCTGCGAGACATCTTCGGAGTCAAAGGCAGATGGGTCTGGGAGCACCTCCCCAGGGGGGGACAGCCCATCCTGCAGCTCAGCCCCTCCCAGCAGCGGGATGCCTGCGGGAGAGTGGGACAACAGTTAGGGCTGCCAGAGCTACCCCCCGCCCAGGGACATATTCTGGGACATTGGGACAGGAGATGATGCAGTTGGATTGTCCCTGGGAGGAGATTGTGAAACAGAGCTGCCCACACTGGACATGTCCCATCACATGAGATCAAGCACAGGCTTGATGTGAAAACAAGGACACGAAAGTAAATGCTGCCTGTGTCCAGCACTCGTCCCTGGGACACCCAAGGTTAGTAAAGGGGCAGGATTGACCCCGGGCAGTTCAGGAGGGCTGTGGGTGGTTGGGGAGAGGAGGAGGAACCACAGATACCACCTTCCCTGGGAGGGACAGAGTACTCAGGTCCCTCGTTGTCGGTGTCGAAGGAGGAAAAGGAGCTGTCTGAAACCCACGCGGATGACGGCGGCTCGATGAAGCTGGGGTTGAAGGGGATTTCCGTGTCGTGGTGGGAAACTGGGGGAGAAGAAGACACCCAACGGAACTTGGGCACCCCCGAGTGGGAGAGGAACGCTCGCCCTGAGCTGTGCAGTGATGCGAGGGGGGATGCATGTTCCCCCCACTAGACGGTGACAAAGCAGAGAGCAGAAGGTAGGGCTGACACACTGGAAGGGCTCTTGGCAGCTCTGTTTGTTTTTACCTGTGACCTTGGGAAGTTTGTAGCCGCCCAGCGAAAAACAAGGCATCATAGCACTAACGTTCGCCAGCACACCCTGCACGTGGTGTTTCATCCTGGCCACAACGTCATCATCTGGCACAGCTGCCCTGCGCAAGGGAGACAGGTGTCAAGGGACATTGGAGACAGGGTTTTACATCAAAGGTTACAAAACATAAAAAAAAATACCTGTCTCTAGCATCTGCTGGGCCAGCTCCGCAGCAACAGCAGGCGATGCAGAGCAGCAGCAGCAGGAGAGGGACGAGGATGGCGGCTGCAAGGGCCCCATGGTCCTTAAAACCTGTGTGGAGAAGATGGCTTGAGTCCAGCCTGTCCTGTGGCTGCCAAGTCCTTAGAGCCACCCTGCACAGAGAGCACAGGGGCTGGAAGTTCGTGGTGCCACCAGGTGGGACCAGGCTGCAGCCTGGTCACAGCTTCCCAGCACCTTCCTCAGAGAGGATGTTACAGTCCCTCCCGCAGCGCCGACGCGTAAATTTGAGGTTGCTCTTACTTAACACACAATCACCCTGCACGGGGTGGCAGGTCCCCCGGGAGCACTGGCAGGGTGAAGAACAGTTCACACCAAAATATCCCTCCGGGCAGGTGTCGTTGCAGCTGGAAGAGAGAGGAAAGGAGGGAAATTTCCCCGGGAAGAGCAGGACCCCAATCCTGCCCCACTCTCGGCGTTACCTGGCTCCCCAGTAGCCCGCCTGACAGATGCATTCTCCTGACACGGGGTCGCAGCTCCCCACAATGCACTCAGGGCAGAGGAGCTGGCATCCCTCACCGAAGGTGCCTGTGGGGCAGGAGTTGTTGCAACTGCCAAGACAGAGAGCAGAGCATCAGCCCGCTGTGCCCCAGAGCAGGGAACCCCCATAAGGACTGGTGGCCTGACCCTGGGCTTACCTGGGTCCTGGCCAGCCAGG